TCATAGTTGTTTTAATTTGCATCTCTCTTAGGGCTAGGGATTTTGAGCATTTCTTCATATGCTTGTTAGCCATCTGAATGTCGTCTTCGGTGAAGTGCCTTTTCATATCCTGTGCCCATTTTTCTATTGGATTCTTTATCTTGTTGTGGTGCTCAAGCATTTCATAAATTCTGGATATAAGTCCCTTATCTATTATTACCGAATATTTTTTCCCAGTCAGTGGCCTCTCTTTTCACCCTGTTGGAGAAGTTTTTGGATGTCTTTGAGTTTTAAAGAGTGCTGAAGATCCCATGGACTGCCAAAAGAACAGATGTCTTGAAGGTGCAGCCAGAGTGCTCCTTGGAGACAAGTAATAGACTTGTTGTTGGGTTCCACTGAGTTGGAACCAAGCTATATAGCTGACCCTCTGTCGGGCTTTCAGAGGTAGTAAATCACACCACAGATTGCCCATCCTTCTCCTGCAGAGCAGCTGGTAGATTTGAACCACACGCCTTCAGGATTGCAGCACAGCTTCTTACCAGTAGGTCACCAGAGCTGGCAGTTTTGATATTTTTGTCTTTTACAACCCAGACAAAAATCCTTTGCTTATCTGGACCTTTATTTTTCACAACCTTAAAAAGAAACTAATATCATCATCTCCTATCTTTCAAAGATAGAGAATCAGTCAAAATACATGCACAGTCCTGGTTGGAGTGTACAAATGTAGACAGGTCCTCCTGACAAATCAACTTCTTCTACTGAGGTATATGCGGCATTCTGTTGGACTAGTTGGTGGTGGGTTGCGTCGCCAACCCAAAGGCAGGCTGTTCAAATCCACCAGTGGCTCCACAGAAGATAGATGGAGAATCTCTTTCCATAATTTACAGTTTCTGAAACCCAGCTGGAGGGTTGGCTGTGAGTCAGAACGGCAATGATAAAGGCTGAAGCAATAGGACATAGCATTATTGCTGGTCCCTACAAATAAGCCACGACATAGAACACTGGTAAAATTAAACTTTATTACGATTTAAACAGAAAAGTTACTCTGTACATGTTACACACACACGAAGCAGGTCAACTCTACCAAGACAACCCTGCACGACTTATGCTGACACACTGCTCGCTGGCAGGAATGCAGCCCCTTGTGCTCCAGCACTCTGCTACGCAGGTGATGTGACCATCATTTCCTATGTGGAGGCCTGCGGGTGCAACCCTCTCAACCCTTATTTCTACTCAGGTACCCTGGAAGCAGTAAGACAGCTGGATTTAAACCTAAAACTACTCACGATCCCAGACTCGGTGTTCCCATCACCTAGAAAACCTTAAAATCCAGCGTGCTCAAAATAAGGAATTCTCAGTGTCCTGGAACCTACAGGGAGAGATGTTTGCCTCCCACGGTGGTGGTGGTGTTGGGTTCCAGCTTAGTGACGCTCTGTACCACAGAACAAAGTACTGTGGGGTCTTGTACAACCACTGGGGTTGTATTTGACCCACTGTCGCAGCCATCTCACTGCGAATCTTCCATTTTCCCCACTGACCTTCCACTTTACCAAGCACGGTGCCATTTTCCAGGGACTGGTCCTTCCTATGGTAAATGTGTACATAGAGGTCATAATCAGCCAGGACAAACAGTGGAAGGGAAGGAATATGAAATCTTTGGTGCACACAACACAGCTTATCACAGGGGGAAACCACAAATCAACACTACTCTACAGCAAAAACAAGCCCAGGAAGCTTTGAAATAAGACAACAAGCAAATGTACACAAGGGTTTGAAGACAGGCCTTTAGAAGAAAATGCTGAACTTCAGGGAGTAGGTCTTCATCCTTGTCCATGCACAAAACTTAGGATGTGCTTATGCTATGAAAAACCAAATAAGCATACCTGTCTTTATATATTAAATGAGTGATAGACACATTGAACTAAAATAGTGGAAAGCCTGAGGTTCCCCTTCAGTTGCCATGTTTCTTGGGTACACAAGATCAACATGGTCCTTCTTCCTTGACATTAATTTTGGTCAAAGATACGAGAAATTTTTTTTTATCTTAAAAAATGGCAGGTATTTATTAAAGGATACACCACAGAGTACAAAACTATTATCTATGGGGAAATCACTGAGTAGCTTCAAGGATCAACTATGTTCTCAATGGTAAGTATTCTTTCAGGCTAGGGCTACTGACAGAACCATATCAGAGAGGCTTAGCATCCAGTCCAAGTGCAGCACTCACAAACACAACTAAGGAGTCATGCAATTTAAGCTGTGGTGCACAGCACTAGGGAGTAAGTTGGTTATCTATCCTCCAACAGCATGACACACAAAAACTGGCTCACTCGGGCTTATAATTAATTTTCTCAAACTCTATTTTTTTGAAAGAAAATATTGCAGAAGGCTTGAATAACGAGAAAAAGGCTGGTGAACTCTAGAAATAATGTGAATAAAACTATGTGTGGTTCGGGAATGAAGCAATCCAGGCAACTATCACAAGAAGGCAGGTAGGTCATTTTCTCACTGAAGATGAATGATTATGTGCTAAAAGCAAACAAAAGTATCTGGAAGTCAGTGCAGGTGTCATCTTGACAGGAAAATCTGAATTCTACTGGGGTTTTCCATTTTAATAATGCAGTCAAATTTAAGAAGTCCAATTCCAGGAGTACATGTGTTTTTTACAGATGACAGTAGAGAGATCAGAAAGAAACCCCCTTAACTCTGTTCTTCCCCCCTCCTGGAGTGCCATCTCTCTTCTTGCAACCTTGAACACTGGTACACCTCCTCACAATGCTTCACCACCGTTTTCTCCCTGTCTCTCTCATAAACCTGGTCTTTAACTGGCCCTTCTGTAACTAAACTTCATCTTTCTTTCAAGTAGTAATTCTTTTAGAAACCCTTCAACAACAAGAGCAAAGAAGTCTTTCACTGACTTTAGAGAATTAAAGCCTAACAGGCAACAAATCCTGGTCTTTATGGCAACTATGTAAAAAAAAAAAAAGAGTTTAATATGGTGTCAAGTCTCTATCATTCATCTCTTTTCTGAAAACCAAGTTGGTGCTGGCTGTGCTTCAGTTCTGTCCAGTTCTCCCTGGTGACCCTTACGCCTTGACCGGTTCCATGGCACTGAAGGCTAAGGAAAAAAGGGAGCAGGTGGGTCCAGGAGGGCACCGACCTAGAAGACAGGCTGATTTTTTTTTTCACTTTTACACATGTAAGAAATAAGAGAGTGTTCACGACTGTTCCATCGGTGGAACTCTTCAGGTTCGAACTTGGAATTTCCCAGCTTTGGTCATGTATTTTATGCCCTTGAAGGGTTTGTACTTTTCTCCATACATATCTAGACGATTCACTTTGAGTCCTGAAATGAAGGAAAGAAGGATAAGACATGAGTATGACACAAAAGATGTAGGTACAAGAACTATTATCATTCATTTCCATTCATTCATTATCATTCTACCACATCAATGAAGGAGAAAGCTGTTCAAATGACCCAGAAGAATACCTACATTTCTTCAGCTCATTTACATGAAGCTAGCAGAATCTTCACTCCTGATATATACAATGATAGAAGAATTACTTCAATAAAAACCTATTCTATTAGAAAATCTCTTTCTGAAGTAGGAAGGGTGGAAAATTACACACAGCCTGAATTGCAGAATGAATGTGTGTGTGGGGGTGGAGGGAGGGAAATAAAATCACTGTTCAGGGAGCTCTGGTGGCCTAGTGGCAAGACGTTGCACTGCAATCCCAGAGGTGAATGGTTCGAATCCACCAGATGCTCTGCTGGAGAAGGAGGGAGCAATCTCCTCCTGTACTAGTCAGATCTGATTTGACGGTACACGTAAAAATAATACAATTTAAAAAATCACTGTATATTTTTCTCAAGTCACTGGACTGAATAAATGAAGTAGTAACAGTGGTTAAGCTGATGTCTGAATTGAATAATTGTTGTCAGGTGCCGCTGAATTCAGTTTGACTCGTGTTGTTGTTTCTAGGTGCCATCGAGTTGACGACCACTGGTAGTGACCCTATGAAGAACAACTCAAAGCCTTGCCCTATCCTCATAAATCTCCACCCTGCTCTAGTCCACTGGCACAGTCACTGTGTGCTCCAGCTCCTGGAGGGTCATCCTCTCTTTTCACTGACCTTGCCCACCAGCATGATGTCTTTTTCCAAGGACCAGTTCCTCCTGACAACAAGCCCAAAGTATGTAAGACAAAGTTTCATTATCTTTTCCTTTAAAGAGTACCAAGGTTGTGTTTCCTCTGAGACAGATTTGTTTATTCTTTTGGCAATCCATGGAAAATTTAATACTCTTTGCCAACACCACAATTCAAAGGCATCAATATACTGTGTTGCAATCCTGAAGGCAAGCAGTTCAAATCCACTAGATGCTCTGCTGGAGAAAAAGGAACAACCTCCTCCTGTGCCAGTCTGATCTGACCTGACAGTACACAACAAAAACAAACAAACACTCAAAACAAAAACCCTATATGCATACCATCCCAAAGGCACACCGATCGAGGCCACCAGCTGCTCCACAGGAAAAGCTGCTTCCATGTGATTTACTGCCTCTGAAAACCCACTACAGGTCAGCTATGGGTTGGTTCCGACTCTATGGCACACAACAACAACAACAAAAACCAACCAACGAACCAACCAAAAAAAAAACACCCCTATATACAATAGAAAAATGTAGAGCGCGTCCTTTGCTTCAGTCATTGCTATCTGAATCAACTGCTGTGGCCACTATGATAAGCCAGGTTGTTGGTGAGCTTCCTCTCTTTCACCTAACTTTTAAGTTACTGAGCAAAATGTCTTTCTCCAGGGACTGGACCTTCTGCTAACAAGTCTAAAGTACATACGACAAAGTGCTGTCATCCTGGTCCTGGCTTCCAAGGAATATTCTGGTTGTACTTCTCCAAGATGGATTTCTAAATTCTTTTAGTAATACATGGTATATTCAATATTTTTATGCCAATATTGTAATTCAAAAATATCAATCCTTTGGTCTTCCTTATTCATCATCAAGCTTTTTCATGCTTATGAGGCAACTGAAAATAGCATGGCTTACTTTAGTCATGCAGCTCTCAAAGCGACATCTCTTTTTTTAAAAAAATTATTATTAATTTCAATGAAAATTTACAGAGACTTTGGGTTTCCATTCATTCATTGCTGCACTTTTCTCCCCTCCAAACCCTCCTCCCTAGTACACTACCTTCTTAGAAAAGTAAAAGAAAAATTAATTGTTTTATAACACTTTCCCCCCAGGTCCACTCCACCATGCAGCCTTCGCTCTAGACTCCTGTCATGAAAAAAAAATACCTAATCAGATATCCCTTTTAAAAAGTTTTCTCCCTCATCTGTTTCAATGCGGTATACATTATTGAACCCATCTTTCTCAGTCTCCCCCCAATCCTGAGGTCAGTCCTGTTTTACAACAGTGGCACCATGTAGTATTTGTCCTTTGGTGACTAAGATACTTCACTCAGCATAATGTCCTCCAGGGTCACTCATTTTGAATAATATTGCATGAGTTCCTTGTTTTTCAAAGCAGCACAGTATTCCATTGTGTGAACATACCATAGCTTCTCTATCCATTCGTTTGTTGATGGACCCTGAGGTTGTTTCTAAGTCCTTGCTATTGTGAATAAACCTTCGATAAACATGGGTGTGCATATATCTGCTTGGGTGGCAGTTATGGTCTCTTTGGGGTATATTCCCAGTAGTGGGATTGCTGGGTCAAATGGTATCTCTATTTGCAACTTTTTGAGAAAGCGCCATACTGCCTTCCACAGTGGTTGCACCATTTTACACTTCCACCAACGGTGAAAAAGGGTTCCAGTTTCTCCACAACGTCGCCAGCATTTGTTGCTTGCTGTTCTGTTAAATTTTGCTATTCTGACTGGGGTGAGATGATGTCTCATATTTGTTTTGAAAGTGACATCTTCTACTTTTAATTCTTTGGCAGCAACTGAGTAATAAAAAATTGGCAAATAAATGCTGCCTAGGTAGTGTTATTATGTTGTTATGTGCCGTCGAGTTGCTTGTGACTCACAGCGACCCTATATATAACAGCCCTAAAACTCTGCTCTGTCCTGTGCCAATCACACTGTCTCCAACACACCCATTCTGATTACCCCAGTCACTGAATCAATCCACCTCATAGAGGGTCTTTCCCTCCTATGCCGTCCCTCCATCCTCCCAAGCATGATGTCCCTCTCCAAGGACTGGTCCCTCTTTACAATATGTCCAATGTATGTGGGATGAAGCCCCAGAATTCTTGCCTCCAAGGAGCAGCCCAGTTTAACGCTCTCCAGGATGAATCTGTTTTTCTTAGCAGTCCATAGTACATTCAATACTCTTCTCCAGCACCACAGCTCAAAGGCATCAATTCTTCTATCCTCCTTAGTCACTGTCCAACTCTCTGATGCATAACAAGTGATTGCAAAGACCATGGCCTGTATCAGACACACCTTAGTCTCCAGAGTGACACCATTGCTCTTCAGTACTTTGGAGAGGTCCCTAACAGCAGACCTTCCCATCGCAATACATCTTTTAATTTCCTGACAGCTGATGCCAAGAATGCTGACTGTGGAGCCACGCAGACTAAAGTTGTTAACAATCTCAATCTCTTCACCATCCATCCTGATACTGCCAATTGGTTCAGTGATGAGAGAGAATCTTTGTCTTTTTGATATTAAGCCTCAATCCATACTGAAGGCTATGGTCCTTGACCCTCTGCAGCAAGCGCTTCAGGTCCTCCTCAGTTTCAGCTAGCAGGGTTGTGTCATCTGCATAATAGATCGTCCATCAATCTTGACCCCACATTTGTCCTCATAGAGCCCAGCCTCCCAGATAATCTGTTCTGCATACAGGTTGAAAAGGTATGGAGACAGGACACATACCTGGCATACACCCTTACCAATTTTGAACCATGCAGTGTTTTCTTGCTCTGTTCTGACGACTGCCTCTTGGTCCAAGTATAGGTTTCACATTAGCACAATCAAGTGTCCTGGGATTCCCCTTCTTCTCAGAATCAGCCACAGTTTGTTATGATCCACACAGTCAAATGCCTTTGCATAGTCAATGAAACACAGATATACATTCCTCTGGTATTCCCTACTTTCAGCTAAGATCCATCTAACATTAGCTACAATATCCCTTGTACCACGACCCCTTCTAAGCCCAGCCTGGACTTCTGGCAGTTCTCTGCTAATGTGCTGTTCCAGTCATTTTTGGATAATCTTCAGCAGAATCTTGCTTGCATGTGAAATCAATGGTATTGTTCTATAGTTTCCACACTCTGTTGGGTCGCCCTTCTTTGGACTGGGAACAAATATAGATCTCTTTCAGTCAGCTGGCCAAGTGGTTGTTCTCCAGATTTCTTGGCACAACTTGGTGAGCACATCCAGGGCAGCATCCGTTAACTGAAATACATCAATTGGTATACCATCTATTCCTGGGGCCTTTTTTTTTTGCTATTTCCTTCAAAGCAGCTTCAACTTCTTCCTTCATCACCATAGGTTCTTGCTCCTACGTTATTTCATTAAATTCTTCTGTGTCTGCCAATTCCTTTCGATACAGTGACTCAGTATAGTCTTTCCATCTTCTTTTAATACTTCCTGGATCATTTAATATTCTGCCTAAAGCATCCTTGATTATAGCAACTCAAGGTTTGTATTTGTTCTTCAGTTCCTTGAACTTAAGAAATGTTGAGAGAGTTTGGCCCTTTTGATTTTCTGACTCCAACTCCTTGCACATTTCATTGTTATATTTTTATAACCAAGAACATTATAGTTTTTGATGAATTTATAATTTAAATGTCTAATCATCTAAACCAGATGAGTAATCACTTAAACTAGATAAATACAAAGAACTTCAAGGGATCTCTGGTGGCCGGCCTAGTGGCAAGAAGCTGCACTGTAATCACAGAGGTATGTGGTTCAAATCCACCAGATGCTCTGCTGGAGAAGGAGGGACAATCTCCTCCTGTACCAGTCATATCTGATTTGACGGTACACACACACAAAATAATAAAATTTTTTAAAAAAGAAGAACTTCATATAAAGCTAAGGTTATCTCCAATCTAACTACTTCACAGGACTGTTGTGAGGACTAAGTAAATGAGTGAAAAGAACTTAAAATAGTACCTGGCATATGCTCAATATGCCAGTAAATGCTCAATGAAGTGATAATGATGATGATTATGGTGGATTGAACTGGAAAGTCCCAGTAGCCCCAAAATGATGATAAAAGCAAACATGAGATTTTTTTCTAAAGGAAGAAAGGAAGGGAAATTATTCCAAGTTACCATCTGAGAATACAGAAACATCTTTGTATTGAAAACCTTGGGAACCTCAAATTAGCAAACCTGGATGACCCAACAATAGTTGATGAATACTTCTGCCTACCAATATTAGTTCTTTCTCATTTGTGTTTAGTCACATTTATTCAGGTGAGGAGTGTATACTTTCCCAGAAAATGTGCTGTAAAAGACTGTATTAAACCCATCAATGAGACAGTTTGACAAGTATAACAATTTACTCAAGCATACTACCAGTCCTGAGGATGCCACAGCACCAGGCAACACTGTGTTCTGTTAGGCACGAGGTCATGAATCAGAGCAGATTAACAGCAACCTACCAACAGTGAAACCAAACCCTGGCAAATAGGGAGCCACTAGAAGGCTTTCTGAAGTCTCTGCCACATCAAAGAAAATCACCACCATAATTATCTATTTAAAGCTACTGAGGTTGTGAGTCACTCACCAGAAATGGCCAGCTGCTGGATCTTAAACTGCAGGTTAATTGTGGGGTTCTCATCTGGCTTTGAAGCTCCAGCCTGAAGACTCATGGTCCCCTTCAAACTTGGTAGCTTTTGGGGATTTATTTTTCCCACATCCCAAGATAGCATCTTCAAAGAAAAAGAAAGAGATAAAAGTAGTCTTTCTGATACAATAATTGGAATCCTTCATTTGATGTGTTTAAGGTTCACAGAAATCTGTTCACAATATTATGTTATTTCCCGCATCTCTGTCAGTAGAATAAACTACTTGTTACCATGTCATCTCAAAGGAGTCAATGATGTCCCTTTGGCTGTTTCTCTCTTTCACATAAGGTGTAAAGTCCATGTGGAGAGCTCATGCAGAGCTACTTTATTTAACAGCAGCAATTCAAACTTCTGCTCAGTCCTCCTACCTTTGTTACTGGGTCAAATGTGTGCATCCCCTGAGACGGCGTGAGGCTCATATTCAGGACTCCCTTGGGCATCTGGCTGGTGACTATCACTCCCTCTATAGCCTTTCCCATAGTCTGCTTGGGTCCAACTGTTATTTCAAAGCGTCCAAGTGAACTACTGTCCCGGAAACTGATGTTATGTTTGACATACACTGGAATCGCAACCAGACTGGAAGAGAAAGAAATAAAAAACCCCCATTTAATTAACGTACCTGGAAAATGCCAGTATTTCCCCCTTAAATATAAGTGTGCTTTCCAACCTCTTTCCCTTGGTAGCCTCTTCAGCTTTATCTATTTCCTTACTCTTTATCTTAAATAATAAGGGGGGGGGAATCACAGTAATCTTTAATTTTCCTCCCCTACTTATAAAGTTAAGATGTTGCCTAGTAAAAAAGATAACTCTTCTAGTAACTTGGAATAAAATCCACAAAACCAAAGAGTATATATAAAATGTACTATGGGAAAGGCACTAAGAATAAAAATGAAGAGTTTTATCTATATCTTGTAATTTACAGACTTGTAACATATAACTAGAAAATACTTAATACTTGGGAGAACTATATATTTGTTACACATTTTTATTTGTTCAAAGAGTTTTTACCTTTCTCATCTAATCCTTACTGAAAACACTCTGATTTATGGTGGGTTGATATTTGACAAATGAGGAAATTAAAAAAGGCAGAAAAAAAATTACTGAACAAAGTTGTTGTTGCTGAGTTGGAATCAACCCATAGCTGACCCTCCAGTGGGTTCTCAGTGGCAGTTAACTGCACAAGAGGAGAATGCCCATCATTCACCTGCAGAGCTGCTGGTGGATTTGAACCTTGTGCCTTCAGGAATGCAGTGCAGCTTCTTACCACTAGGTCAAAAGATACTTCCTGTATGCCAGCCACTTTTATAAATGATTTATATCTAGTATCTCGCTCATCAACAACCTATGTTATGTAGATTATACACTCTTGCTTGTAGAAAGTGAAAAAGAATTGAAGCATTTACTGAAGAAGATCAGACTATAGCCTTTATACAGATTATACCTTAACACTAAGAAAACAAAAATCCTCACCACTGGACCAATAGGCCATATCATGACAGCTGGAGAAAAGACTTAGGTTGTTAATGATTTCATTATAGCATCCATGATAGCAGCAGTCAAGAAATCAAAAGACATGCTGCACTGGGAAAATCTGCTATTATGGACCTCACAAAGTGCCAAAGAAAAGGATATCACTATGAAGCCCAAGGTGCATCTAACCCTAAGCCATGGTATTCTCAATTATCTACATGTATATGGAGGAGCCCTGTGGTTTAGTGTAAGGAATTGTGGTGGCAACCCAAAGGTATGCAGTTCAAATCCACCTCTCTAGTAGAAAAATGGGCCATCTCCTCTTGTGCAATTAACTGACTCTGAAAATCCACTGGAGGGTCAGCTATGGGTTGGTTCCTACTCAACACTAGACAACAACAACATTTATATATGAAGGGAGCTCTGGTGGCCTTAATGGTAAGGAGCTGCACTGCCAACCTGAAGACAGTTCAAATCCACTCACTGCTCCATAGGGAAAAAGATGGGCATTCTCCTGCTGGGTAATTATACTGCCTCTGAAAACCTGCTAGAATATTTGCTATGAATCGGTTCTGACGTGATGATATGCAACACCAACATGTGATAGAAGGCTGAAGAAAAGCTGAAGTCTTTCAGTCACGATACTAGCAAAGAATCTATCAGGTATGACGGACTGCCAGAGGAATGTTTAGATTTCCCTTGGGAGCTGTGTAGCCAGAATGCCCCTTAAAGGAACTTTGCTGAAATTGTCCATAGTGGGTTTTGCTGCCAGCCAGATGCTTCTTTGAAGTGAGCAAGGTAAGAGGTAAGAGCAGGTCTCATGTGCTTTAGACACATTATCATAAAGGAGGGACCAGACCCTGAAGAAAGACGATATGCCTGGCAAAGGAGAGGATCAACAGGGGGGAGGGGGGGGAAGAATCTCAGATACACTGATACACCTATGGCTCAAACACAACGACTGTGAGAGAGGGTAGCACTAGGCACCAAACAAGTCATCCGTTTAAAGATAAATACTGAGGTTAAGTAACTTGCCCGAGTTCGTATTTTATTTACTGAAGCTGGAGTTTTAAGTCCAGTCTGACTGCAGAGTTTTTGCTCTTAAGCAGTTGGGCATTTTTCAAAATTATTTATTCCAGATAATAAAGGAAGCAATTGGTGTCTTTGAGGTTCCCTGGCTCTTCTAAGACTGCAGACCTTCTTTGAAGTCTTAGAAGTGCTAGAAGTTTTAGGAAGGGCTACTTCCTAAAACACTCAGACCTCTAAAATAAAGAAAATATCCACGATCGAATAAGACTGCATTTTATGAGTTCCCACAGTGGAATCTAGTGCTTCTTTTAAGTCAGAAGGGGGACTGAGTACAGATGTGATCAGAGTCTTATTGGAGAAAAAGAAATTTCTTGTTTAGACACATAATAACAAAAAGAGGGAGGCAAGCTTATGAGCACTTACTTATAGTAAACTCTATTTATTGGGATTCTTCTCAACAAGGTACTCTGATCATTTTCCATTTATATATAGAAACACAGGCAGAGAGAGGGTAGGTGGCTCACCTGAGGATGGCGATGACTCAGTACCGAAGCTGGAATATGCACCCAGGTGGTTTATTCACAGCCTCAACTCTTACCCAGTAGAGGACATGATTTCCACCCACACACATAACACACAGATCCCACTCTTTATTATAAGAGTTGCTTACTTCTGTGCACTGACATGATATGAGAGCAGACGGAAGTTTCCATCAGGGGGGATGAAAGACAGGATACGCTCAGATTCCCAGCGCTTGAAACGAACACAAGGATGGAAGCTGACATCATCCAGCAACCTGGGGTTCTAGTTTATAGCAGGGAAAACCAAGAAGTAACAATTAAAAACTCCTACTTATTTCAGGAAAGTAATTTAGGTGCTTTTCAAATTAAATACGCACACACACATTATGCAGTTATTTATAGAAAATTTAAGTTTTGGGGAAATCCTCAAGTATTTCTTCTTGTTTTGGTCTATTCTCACCACTCTCTCTTTCCAGAAGCACTTAATCTCCCATCCCCAAAGCTCGATTTCTGGGCTAGGAGTTTACCATGAAGGAAAGCGTAAGGTCTGGCATTCCAGTCAGCTTGACACATGCATCAATCACGCCCTGTATCTCAGCAGTAATTGTGGAACCTGAGAGAGGAACACAAAACAGATGATAAAGAGATTGTTGAATACTTCTCTGCACTTACCAAATATCTTACTCCCTCTCTTCCTTCCTGTCTTTCCAACTAAGTTCCTTCCTTTCTTCTTTTCTGTCTATCCATACATCTAATTGTCCACAAAACTGTTTATCTTTCTTAGCACAACTGAAGCTCAAACACGAGACACTATGATGAAGTAGTAGGGGGAAAAGATTAATGAGATAGTTATTAATCCTGAGGAAGTTTTCAATCTAGTCCTCAAATCAAACAGACTATCATTATCTCAGCCAGTGGTCTAGAAAATCTCTTCTAAGTAACAGTTCTCCTTAATGTCACAATGAGCTTTGCCACTAAGTTGAACAGTGACTTTTGGTCTTTATCCTACAGAACTTTTCTATAGTGTTTTCCACTGTTGATCTCTTCTCCTGGTTTTCCTGTTAAATTTTTAGCTCTTCTTCCTGGGTCTCTTGTGCAGTTTTCTTTATTCTCTGCACACTGCTTAAAAGCCTATGTTTTTTCAGCATTCTGACATCTCTTTTCAGTCCATACATTTTTCCCAAGTTATTTTACATGTTTCCCAAGGTTTCACTTTCCAATTATGGCAACTTCTCTCCTAATTGCACTTCTAGTTCAACCTCACTTTTGCCTAATGGACAGTGGACAAATATCTTCATGTAGATATTATTGAGGCACTTCAAATGCAACATGTCAAAAAGTTAATTATCTTATCTTACTTTCTGAATTTCCATGGTGAAGCCATCTAAATTGTAGAGAAGAAACAGGCACTTCCACTTTTCTAGTCCTCAGATGCAATTATCAATCCCTTTTTTCCCCTTTTTATCACACATCTCTCAAACTATCAATTCCTCTCCATCCTTATGACAAACATGTTGTGCCTGGATTTCTACAATAGTCTCCTAATTGCTTCACCCGCTTTAACTCTTAAACTTCTTCAAGCCACTTTTTACATTGCAACCAGAATGACAGTCCTACACCACAAGTCTAATCAAGCCATCCCTTAACTAAAATCTTCAAATGTTCCCAGTTTGGAACGTCCCTCTTTAAAATGGCATACAAGATTCTTCATGCTGTCATCATTTATAATTTTCCTTTTGCAAAAAAGTAAAATTTAGAGTAAAATATAAAAATCTTAATTGTGTACTTCAATGAATTCTAAAATTTATTCATCTGTGTAAATGCTATGCTATGCTATGCTATGCTATGCTATGCTATGCTATGCTATGCTATGCTATGCTATGCTATGCTATGCGTAGGTTCCAACTCAAAGGCACACAACAACATGTAAATACCACACAAATCAAGATGTGGAATCTTGTCAATATCCTAGCAAGCTCCTTTTCTTTTGTCCCAGCACTTGCCCAACAGTTAACTACAATTCTGACATCTATTACAACAGGTTATTATTTTCAAATTTCATATCAATGTTATCGTATACAACATTTTTGCATCTCAAATTTTTGAGGGTTCAATGTTGTGAGATGTATCCATGTTGTTGGATTTATCAATAGTTCATTCTTTTTTTAATACTTATAGTGCATCATTAAATGAACACAGAAAGATTTACCTATCATTTTTATTATTGGTAAACATTTGAGCTATAGTAGAAGTAGTACAGCTGGAGTGCTCCTTAGAAATAATGATGGTCATATTAGGGCATATTATTGGGGAGGGAGCGTGAATCCCTAGAAAAGTACATCATGAGGGGAGCTCTGGTAGCCTAGTGGCAAAAAGCTGCATTGCAATCCCAGAGGCACATGGTTTGAATCCACCAGATGCTCTGCTGGAGAAACAGGGACAATTTCCTCATGTACCAGTCAGATCGGATTTGACTTTAGACACAGAGGTTATAGGATGGCACAAGATTGGGCAGGGCTTTGCTCTATTGTACATTGATCACTATGAGTAAGAGCAACCTGAAGGCCCCTAACAACATTGTAAAATGCTGCTATGCTACTTGGTTTGCAAGTTTCATCATTTCTAGTCTCTTTTTATGTCTTTAAACCCAGTTATAGCACAGGTCTTTCTCAATAATATTTTATTCATCTTAAGAATGTTTGTACAAACCTTTCTCTTAAAAATTCATGTAACTCTTGGCAACCTCTACTCACTCTCCTCCTAAAGCAGAACCACTGGAATCTCTCTGCATCTTTGCTCACGGTGGATTGATATTGTACTTTTTTTCACCTGCCTCTCTCCCTTAGTAGACTTTAAGTAAGCTCCTAGAATCACACATTACATTCTTCATTAACTGGCCAATAGACTGCCCTGTGTCCACAATACAACAGGCTTTTGTTGAATGAATGAGTTCCCTAATGTGAAGAGAACTTTCTACAAATTTCTAATCTACAGGACCTGTATTCACTGAAAAGAAAACTTTCTGAATTTTAACAATTGCAACTTTAGTTCTGCCATTAAAATAAGGGGTAAAATACTTTCAAAAAGGACATCTCAATCAGCAGGTGACTTTTGCTGTTGCTGTTTAAGTGAATAAGACCAATAAAACGAAAACATAAAACAAACACTGGTTGGCATCGTGATATTAAAAAATATTTCTAATGCTTAGCACACTACCTGACATTGAGTAGGCATTTAACTAAAAGAATTAGAATCAATGCTCTTAAATGGAAGATAATTCTAACAAACATTACACAGGAGGAGTCCCTTTTTCTTTCCAAAGCTCTAAAATAGGTTAAAAGCACATACCTGATTTATCAATAATGGCATCGATTTCTTCAATCACATCAAAATAGGCCTCATTGTTGGTATATTTCACCCCAGTCCTTCTCCAAGGCACCACTGACAGCTGCCCAGTGGGAAGTTGGTCACCCACATTGGTGCTTCCTGAGATAAAGAATATAATTGTATTTTAATTCCAATTTTATTTTAATAATTTTGGAACACTTACTAGAAGTTTCTAGGATCCCACTACTCATGCACTGCATTGAAGAATTTTTCATGGAGAAGATAAGCATTCTCTCAGCTTCCATACAGGTAACTAGTCTATGAGAAAGAAAAAAGAAAAAACCCTTGTAGCCATCTGGTCTGTCTCCTCAAGCAGGACTGAAGGCTTGATTTTTTTTTCCTCAAAGTTACCTGAGAAACACATATCATATTTTGGTTTTGAAAGTAACTTGAACTTTGTTTCTCAAATTCCACAATAGCATGCAGTTTAAATAGTGTATTGACTTGCAGTAAGATGATAACCTACATTTTGATATAAACTTTTCATGGGTAAAAGCAGTAACCTAATTTAGGGTGGATTCTTAGATACAGTTATGCTAGATTTTTTTTTATTAGTTTTAATGAACATTTACAGGGATTTTGGGTTTTCATTCCTTCATTGCTGCACCATTCTCTCTACCCTCCTCCCCAGTTTGTTCTTCTTCCCCCGCCATCCGAATGTCTATTTTAATTGTCCAATTGCCACAGTGCTTGTCAAAGTCAGTTCTGGTTAATCTCCTTTGTCAGTGTGTCCTTTGCCATTCCCTATCACTCTTCCCTGAGAGAGACTTCACCCTGATTCATAAGGAAAAGGGGATGGCGTATTCTCTTAGCTACTTCCTGCTGAAAAGGGATGCTGTGGGTTTCAGGGTGAACTCTCACTACTCTAAAGGGCCCCTTTGGCAGTAGGAAACACATAGACTATTATGGAGATTGATTTTGGAATTTAGATGCACTGAGTTATGCTAGATTTTAAAGAGTATCCATCAAAATTGTCTTTCTCATACCATACTGAAACTTAGTAAAAGACTACAAATTCATAATAATGACAACGAATAAGGAAGACTGAAGAAGAGTGGATATGTTTGAATTGTGGTGTTGGCAAAGATTACTGACCATTATTGACTGCCAAAAGAACAAACAAATCTGCTGGAGAAAGTGTAACCGGGGTGTTCCTTACAGGTAAGAATGATGAAACTTCATGCTCATCTACTTGGGGCATGTTACCACGTGGGGTCAGTCCTTAGAAAAAGACAACATGGCAGGAAAGATAGAGGGTTGGTAAAAGAGAGAACGACCCACAAGAAGATGGATTGACACAGGGATTGCAACAGTGGGCGTGAGCCTGGCAGAGATCATGAAGATGAAACAGGCCAAGGCAAGTTCTGTTCTGTAGTTCACATGCTTGCTATGATAACATCTAGCAACTACTAGAAATTCAATCTTTCCCTGTCCATGAAAGTTGATACATTTCTTGAGTATGTATCTCATCACAGATACATTCTTTTAAAAAACACGTTTTTTAATTCAAAGATTCTGTGACTCATTGCTGACACTCTATTGTGTTTCCAAGGCTATAAATCACACAGGAGGAGAATGCTTATCTTTCTCCTTGGAGTTCGGTGGATTTGAAACTGCTGGAGAGGTGCGGCCTTTCAATCAATGTAACTTCCTCCAGACAAGGTCACAAAAGCTTTTTATTTTAATATGGAAATTCTGACATATAACTGTCTGAAATTTTATTTTCACTTACCATTTCATGGATAATTTTACTCTGAAGGAAGAAATATGGGGAAAATCCAAGAAGTTGGCCTCCACCTCCATGCCGAGCTGTCTGCCACCCAACCTAACCAGTAAGAAGCAAGACAACAGCATGCTTCTGTCCATGTTCCTGACCAACCTCTCCAGTATACTCACTACACTTATTGCGTAGCTCATTGGATGAGTGCTTATGTCTGCTCCTGTGCCATTAGACCAAGAACACAGGTGGCAGTAAATACTCACACTTCCCACCATGCATGACCAGTAAACAGACACCCATGCTCACACCACCAGATGCTGCCCAGGAGACAGGTGGTGAAACTCCACTGAGCCAGACTATTGACTGGCAAGGCAAATCCACCAAGATATACCAAAGTAAAACAAAAAGTCAGGTTGAAGCAAACAAAAAGTATACAGAACATTAAAAAGGTTAACACCTGAAGGCCTCAGAGACTACTATTGTTTTCACGTACCATCAAGTTGCCTCTGCCTCATAGTGATCCAATCTATGTACGTTAGCTCTGAATTCTACCCTATTCTGAGCCAATCTCATCATCTCCAACAAATCTAAGCCTATTTCTCCAGACACTGAGTCAATCCATCTCATATTGGGTCGTCCTCTCCTGTGCTGTCCCTCCACCCTTCCACACATGATGTCCTTCTCCAAGGACTGGTTCCTCCTGGCCATGTACCCAAAGTATATGAGGTAGAGTTTAAAAATTTCTGCCTCCAGGAAGCAGGCTGGTTTCACCCTTTCCAGGACAGACCTATTTGTTCTCCTTGCAGTCCATGGTATGTTCAACACTCTTCTCCAGTACTACAATTGCAAAGACTATGGCCTGAAGCAGGTATACCTTAGTCTCCAGACTGACAGAATTTCTCTTCAGTAGACTTTCTCAATGCAATTCATTTTTTATTTCTTGATTGCTGGTGACAAGAGTGTTGAATGTGGGGAGCTCTGGTGGCCTAGTGGCAAAATGCTGCACTGCAATCCCAGAGGTATGCAGTTCAAATCCACCAGATGGTCTGCTGGAGTAGGGGGGGGACAATCTCCTCCTGTACCAGTCAGATCCGATTTGACAGTACATATAAAAAAATAATAAAAATAAATTAAAAA